AATAAAATAAAATAAAAATAAAATAAACAGAGTTGGAAGGGACCTTGGAGGTCTTCTAGTCCAACCCCCTGCTACACCATTTCTGACAGATGGCAGTCCAGTCTCTTCTTGAAAGCCTCCAGTGATGAAGCTCCCACAATTTCCGAAGGCAACTTCTGTTCCATTGGTTGATTGTTCTCACTGTCAGAACAATCTCTGCCATTTCTCCTTATTTCTAGGATGATCAGTTTCCACCCATTATTCCTTATCTGGCCTTCAGGTGCTTTGGAAAATAGCTTGACCCCCTCCTCTCTGTGGCAGCCCCTCAAATATTGCAACTCTGCTATCATGTCTCCCCTGGTCCTTCTCTTCACTAGACTGGCCATGCCCAGTTCCTGTAACCGTTCTTCATATGTTTTAGTCTCCAGTCCCCTAATCATCTTGGTTGCTTTTCCGGTTTATTGGGGGGGGGGGGGGGCAAGTGTCTGCTGTGGCTCAAGAACAGGGGAGCTCACACTGCACACTTGCCACTTGGGCTATGGAAGCTGTTTTTTCCTGCTTTTTCCTCTTGGATACCACATACACATTTCCTGTATTTTTATAGTTGTATTATAATTAGGAGACTGAAGACAGAATTATATATGGTCATTATACCATTGCTACAACAACAAATGTAACCTAAGGCTTTTGCACAGCATTGTATGTGTGTGTATCTGTACTTCAGCTTTGAGGTCTAATTGAGCTGATATCCCAGAATAATGAACCATTCAAACGATAATGTATTAAACTGTATCAATAAATTTATGAAAAAAAATATTAAAAATTGCACTTCCCTTTTTCAGCTTGGCAAAATCAAGCCTTGCTCTTATCTGCACTGAATAGGATGCTGGGGACCCCCCCCCCTCAATAGCTCTTTTAACTGGCTCCAAACTACCTGCCAATTTGAGCCTAGAGACTACAGGTACCCTCTGTAATATATAGTCAATGGCATGGCAGGGTTAGGTGTACCGTATCTGAGCGGCCACCAGATGGCAGCAAAATGTTGGTAGTTTTGTATTGGTAGGGTTTCTTTTAAGTGTGTTAAATATTACTATTTAACTAGTAAAACGAATAAAAATAATATATTACTATTAAAAACTAATACAAACTAAGAAAAAGAAAAGAATAAAAATAAAAATGAGAAAGTGCAGAAAATACAAACAGAAAGAAAAATAGAGAAGGAAGAAAAACTTAATTATAGTAAAGGAAAAAATATATAAAGAAATAACTTCCCCCTTCATCACAAGTACAAATAATTTTAGTAACCTCACCTTACCTTAAAATACAGCAAAGGATGTCTTCCTGTGGTTCATCTGTTTGCCTATAAAAAAATTCTTAAAACTTTACTGTCAGTCCTGATCAACAAATGTTCATTAAGGGTTATCTGTACCCCTCCACCCCCCCACCCCCCATTCAACTGTGTTTGAATTTCAGAGGCTTTCTGGACTGCAGTTTTCTTGGCAAGGTTTTTCAGAAGTGGTTTGCCATTGCCTCCTTCCTAGGGCTAAGAGAAAGTGACTGGCTCAAGATCACCCAGCTGGCTTTGTGCCTAAGGTGGGACTAGAACTCCCAATCTTCCGGTTTCTAGCCTGATGCCTTATGACTACACCAAACTAGCTATCTAATATATCTATTTTTGTTGTTGTTGTTGTTAGTTGCGAAGTTGTGCCAACCCATCACAACCCCATGGACAATGTTCCTCCAGGCCTTCTTGTCGTCTACCATCCCCTGGAGTCCATTTAGGCCAGGGTGGATTTGATTTAAATCAATAGTAAAAAGCCTTGATTTAAATCAAGTCAATTTAAATCAGAATTTTTAAAGAGCAACTGTCATCTCTGTCCCACAGCAGCTCCTCCTGACCCGCTGTTGACTTACCGTCAGTCCCAATCTTGCAGAATATACAGCCTCATGCTACATAACGAAGCTCCATTTCATGCTGAATAAAGTAAATAATTAATGTATCTTAAATATAAAACTATCTTTAGATAGATTTTTACTCCAAAAACATTTTATTAAAATATATGTGATAAAAATTAAAAAAAAACCGATTTAAATTTTAAAAATCCAATTTTTTTGATTAAAAAAAAGTCATCGAAGATGATGAGTGCATAGATCCATTTCAAAATATGCAAGAGTTATTTACAAAGTGCTTCAGGTCAGTGGTGGGTTTCAAAATTTTTTACTACCGGTTCAGTGAGTGTGGCTTAGTGGGCATGGCTTGGTGGGCGTGGCAGGGGAAGGACACTGTAAAATCTCCATTCCCTCCCCAATCCAGGGGAAGGTTACTGCAAAATCCCCATTTCCTCCCAATCAGCTGGGACTTGGGAGGCAGAGAATAGATGGGGGCAGGGCCAGTCAGAATTTTTACTACCGGTTCTCCGAACTACTCAAAATTTCCGCTACTGGTTCTCCAGAACTGGTCAGAACCTGCTGAAACCCACCTCTGTTTCAGGTCCAGAAAATACCATTTAATGGTTCGTGAATCCATCCTGAAGAGGATTCTGTTGCTTTAAAGGCAGTGTTTCCACAAGCTGAACAACTTTTAAGATGTGTGGACTTCAACTCCCAGGATTCCCCAGCCGGCATGCCAGTTGTTCATTTTATGAAACACTGCCTTTAAAGAATTCAGCACTCAGAGTCAGACTACAAACTTGAAAGAACATAAGCAGCTTTAATGAATAACAGACAGCTGTGGCGCTTCGTGCAAAGTCCAAAGTGCTTCTTCCAAATAAAATAAAATATGCAGAGCCCTTCGTTTTAGTTCTTTGTTTTTTTAAGTTCAAGATTGTCCTTTGAAGCATTGGACTCCAGCAGTCAATATCTCGTGTCTCTTGTGGACTCAGTGCAAAAGTCCTTTATTCTCCCTGACCTTTTAAGATGCTAATATTTTAAGAGATCATGCTGCCATGTCACCTTTTGATTAATTTTATTTCATCCGAATGTTTACTCTTTTAACATTATTGCTATTTGTACATTGGGTAGTTTTAGCTGTTCTTAATTTAATTTCTTGTGATTTTAAAATATTTACCGAAAAACATTCTTTTTAAAGCAGCAGTTAAAAAAAAAACCAACCAAAAAACCAAAAAACCACATAGCAGTGTGTATAAATCTGAAAAATAGGAGATCAAAGTCTGTTAAGTGCACACAACGTATTTTCATTAAATAATTTTAATACAGAGTGCAATTAATCTTGTGTGTTACATACTAGAACAAAGCTCACTGAATAAAGTATAAAGCAGGGGGTTATTTGTTAACTAACAAATACCATACTGGTTTCTTCCAAATTAAAATATCCTTATTTTGTGTAAGCAAATTCTTGTTCCTTATGGCACATCTAAACCTAACAGGAGGTAATACAGTAGGGACACAGTCCCATTTAAAGAAAGAAAAGTCGCAATGCCAAATTTAATTTAATTTAATTTAATTTAATTTAATTTAATTTAATTTAATCATATTTCTATGCCACCAACTCCCAAGGGACTCTTGGGAGTTTAGTTTGTTTAGTTGACCAGGGAGATTAAAAAACGTATTTGCAGAGAAAACTTTGATCCCAGTGATTTGTTGGAACCTAGATTCAAGGACGTGCCTCATGGAGTGGCTTTCCTGAGCCCTTTGCCATTTGCTTTTAATGTCCTGTGCAAACAGATAACCTAGCGTTGGCGAACCTGTGTGCGCGCTCGTGCTGGAAACCGGAAGATCATCCTCCCTCTGATTTTGTGATGCCCAGCTAGGTGGTAGCATCTACTTGACTTTGGCTAATCTGACCAAGCTAAGCAGTGTTAGTTCTGGTTTAGCACTTGGAGGGGAAACCATTGGAAAATTCTCAGGGTGTTGAGAGCAGAAAGCGGTGAGAAATTAGTTCCCTGGGATGACCAAGGAAATGATGTGGGTGACTTCATGAGGTCCCTAGAGTAGGAGTAGAGTTTGTTGCTTTCTCTGTGTTAAAATAATGCAAAGTAAAAAGAAAACGGAAGTAATTTTACAAGGGAAGTAGGGAGATGCATTCTGCTCAAACGGGGGTTTACTGTGGAGTAGAGTTAGTTCTCGATTTACATCCATAACTGAGGCCAAAATTTCTGTTGCTTAAGTGAGACTGTTGTTAAGTGAGTTTTGCCCCATTTTACGAACCTTCCTTCCTGCAGCTGTTAAGTGAATCACTGCAGATGTTGTGTTAGTAGCAGGGTTGTTAAGTGAATCTGAATTCCCCATTGACTTTGCTTGTCAGAAGGTTGCAAAAGTGACCCTGGGGCACTGCAGCCGTCATACGTATGAGTCAGTTGCCACACGTCTGGATTTCAGTCACCTGACCATAGGGATGCTGCAACAGTCATAAGTGTGAAAAATGGTCATAAGTCACTTTTTTCAGTGTCATCGTAACTTTGAATGGCCAGTAAATGAACTGTTGTTAGTGAGGACTACTTGTGTCATAATTCATCATATTTCTATCCTATTTTCCTTCTGGAAGCTCAAGACAGTTTCTCTACTGTAGCTCCTTTCTCCAATCTTACCTCTAACAGGGGTGTCAAACTGGCGGCCAGGGGGCTGGATCATCCCACGCGGGGCACGCCGACCCCAGCTCCGCAAAGGCAAAAAAATGTTGCAATACGTCACGTGACGCTATTGAGTTTGACACCTGTGCTCTATAACAACCATCCTGTTGGGCAAGAGTCCAGGGAGATTTCACAGCTGAGAGTAGACTCAAACCTGGGTTGTCTTGGTCCAGCACTTTAACCAAGACCACTTACGGTTTCCTTCTCCTCAAGATACCCATGATGATCATTCCAAGATGCTCATGATGGTAGAGGTGGGATTCAGCCGGTTCAGACCAGTTCAGACGAACCGGTTGTTAAAATTCTGCCCAGTTCAGCAAATTGGCTAATCCCACCACTGGCTGGCCATGCCCCTGCCTCTTTTTCGGCTGTTTTTTGGCCCGAAAAATGGGCAGGAGCGTGGCCAGCCAGTGGTGGGATTATTCCGAACCGGTCAGAATTGCTGAATCCTACCTCTGCCTTTGAGACGAGTGGCCGGGAGGCGGAGCTGGGTGTGATGAGTGACGTTGAGTTGGCCACACCCATCCAGTCACATGACCACCTGGCCACGCCTACCCAGCCAGAGAACCAGTTGTTAAATTATTTAAATCCCACTAATGCATGATGGTTGTTCTTCGGTTCAACCTAACCTACAAGTAAGCTGACTAAATCAGTCTCCTCTAGTTTATGTGTTCTTACTTGGAAGTAAAGTCTGCTTCACCTAGAAGGATTTACTACAGAGTAAGTAAGGCTTTCTTACTCTTTCTGTGTATGTTTGTTGTGCTGAGGTCTGCAGGGTTGAATGCTGGAGGACCTCAATTCCTAGAAGTCCTTTAGGTCTTTGCACCTGGCCTCTCCTCCTATAGCCGCTTTATAGTTCTTGCTTAGTACTTCGTGTCCTGCAGTGGGCATCTTACCTAATGTCTAATCCCGTGTGAGAGCAGTGGCATCTCACACCTTCTGCTGCCTTTCCGGCATTTAAAATATCCAAATAAAGAAGTTGAAATAATATCTGAAGTGTCCCCTACTGATCATGCAGAATAGAATAGCTGCACTTAGAACATTTGGTTTTTCCCAATGTTGGTCCTTTAGGACCAAACTCACAAGAAATAAATAAAATCAAATTTAATTTAAAACAAAAGATAAATTGTAAGCAAATGTAAAAAGGCAAAATATATACTTAAATATTAATAGGGAATTGTGGATGTTTAGTACAGAAGAAAATAATAACCTTGTTCAGATAACAGTAAAATAGCAACTTCTTTTACTTTAATTTGTTAAGCAATATTTTTTTTAAAAAAAAGCACGTACGACGTTATCTAGTTGGGTAATGAAACATCTGCAAGGAAACAAGTTTAGAGAAGGATTAAGGACTCCAAAGAGTACTTCCTTACAAATGAAGCAGAATCTCTGGGAAAACAGTGGAAAGTTTTCAGATTATTACTGCAAATTGCAGGAAAGTCTAAAAAACAGAATCTAATGTTTTAAAGCAGGACACATCCAATGCCATACAGAGAAATAAAGCAGGACACATCCAATGCCGTACAGAGAAATAAAAAGAAACTTGGCACCCCTGGCCAACTGAAAATCGAAATTCTCATGCTGATTCCTAATGATATGGGTTGCCTATTTCTCAAAAAAGTAGCAGACTTTTCGAAGCAAAAGTCTTAAACTTCCTTTTCTGGTCATTTCCAGCTTGGCATTTCCAAGTTGGGTGATTGTCTTAAATCTTGACAATTTTGTCATGGCCTTAAGGACATCCTTTGACATCTGGGTGTCCAGGAATCTTTCCAAATGCAGATTTATTTTTTATTTTTTGCATATTTCATGTGATTCTTCCTTTTATAGAAATTTATTTTTGTTTCCCTTCTTCTCCAACTTTGGGATTAAGGGGTTTGTGCATCGCATGCATATTTTACTGAAACAAGGAATTATTTTCTGGGTATTCCAGAGATTTTGATGGTTCTTTCCATTAGAAAAGAAGAGGCATACCTGTCTTGTTCAAGAGAATCTTTTAAAATGGAACACCTTAAATTGTGGCTTTTGAGAGTACACAAATGAAGGTGCATCCTGTTAAAATTTATGTAAAGCAGCTATTTTAATCTTTAGTAACTTGGTTTGACATTGCCTACAAACTGTGTTTTCAGGACTTATAAAGTGAATTCCACCCACAGGACTCTGCACTTTTGAAGCAGAGTTTGTAACTTTCCATATCCTCTGAACCCAGAATGACCAGAGTTTCAGATTTTCGAAATCAGGAATTTGTTCCCGAAACCCCGCCCCAAACAAACATCGGTTACAAATCCTATTTTCTGGAAGCTTCACATCATAAGCTGAAGTTTTAGCTAAAAATTGTCATATATCTGATAGACACATAAGTTGTTTCAAATTTATTCATAGTAGAGACCCATATACATGGATGCAGTGGCTCAGTGGTTAAGACGCTGAGCTTTTCGATCAAAAGGTTGGTAGTTCAGCGGTTCAAATCCCTAGTGCCACGTAATGGGGTGAGCTCCTGTTACTTGTCCCAGCTTCTGCCAACCTAGCAGTTCGAAAGCATATAAAAAATGCAAGTAGAAAAACAGGGACCATCTTTGGTGAGAAGGTAACAACATTCCATGCGCCTTTGGCATTGAGTCATGCCGGCCTCATGATCATGGAGACGTCCTCGGACAGCGCTGGCTTTTTGGCTTTGAAACGGAGATGAGCACTGCTCCCTAGAGTCGGGAACGACTAGCACATATGTGCGAGGGGAACCTTTACCTTTACCTTAGAGACCCATATAAATGTGGGGGTTGGGGGGTGGGTTTGCTTTCAGTGCTGTAAAAGCTTAGATATAGAACTTTAATGAAGATAGAGATCCTGTAATTTTTCTTTTTTCCTTTTTTGTATACTGAATTGCCTGTGAATTGCATTGGAAGGCTTCAGTCCTGAATTGTGAATGCGATAGGAGAGAGAAATATGTCTCTGAAATAGGATAGATTTCTCTGACATTAGTTTAAGAACCTGAGAATTAATCAGGGGATTTGTTTTTCTGCCCTATCAAAAGTAAACCATGCATGGAGTTTGGCTCTAATGTGGTTGCTTTGCTTTTGACTTTCAACTTGGCAACAACCAACCCTGTTTCCACATATCAAATACAAGGAAGGTTGATCAAACTATGATTAAGTAAATCATTTGTGGATATTTGGCTGTATTTCACTGCCTCGTTTTATTGATCCTTTCTTTTCTTCGTGTTTTTATAACAAGAGATGAAAGAAATGAAAGAAAATGCAGCCAAATTGCTGGAGTGACCCGTCTCTCAGAACAATGGGGCAGCAAAGGATCCCAATCTGACTCCCCCATCCCAAGGCCAGTCTCCTGCCTTTCTATTCCCCGTCATGGAGGTGACATCCAAGACAGGCCCTGTGTTGGGTCTTGCAGCCTTAATTCTCCAGCCTTGGAGTCCATGATCCTGTTGTGGTCTGCCAGCAGCCCGTGGAGATAGCAGCGGAGTTGGACAGTGAGGAGGTTGGGGAGGACAATGGGCCAGTCCTGGAGTCTGGGGAAGGCCCAGACAAGGGCTCTGCGTCGGAGGCAGAGATGGGGCCAGGGCCATCTGGGAGTGATGTGTGGACTCCGGAGCCTCCAGAGGCAGACAGCAGAGAGGCAGAGGAACAGGAGGAGCCTGTTCCTAGTGCATGCATGTGCAGAGCTGCCAGAAGGCAAGAGCAGCTAAAGCAAAAAGGACGACTCGGGAGTAAGGCCAGGAGATGATTGGCGCCTCCCATAAGGCTTAAAAGAGCAGCAAAGGCTCTTGGGCTCTTTGTAGGAAAGCAATGTTGCTAAATCTGTTTTCCAGTCGGCTTCTCTTGTTTCTGAACTTCGTGGGGCTTTGCCAAGAAAGGCCTTTGGCAGGGTGCCAAAGAAGATAAAGGTTTGTGATAAGCCCGAAGGACATTTTCTAAAGGACTTGTTTGGGAATTAATTTGGACTAAGCTGGGAATGAAGTAATTCTCAACTGTTATAATAAAATAGTTTTGTTTGAGACTAATTGTGTCCTGTAATGACTAGGTGAGCCTAGGTCACAACAGATCCAGAGAGATCTGATGGAATTTATTAAGAAAACAGCAGCACTGAAAAAAGTGACTTCCAACTGATCCTTGCACTTATGACCATTGGTGTCCTCCCTACAGTCACATGATCAAAAATTAGGTGCTTAGCAACCGGCATGTATTTACGATGGTTGCAGCATCTTGGGAGTCGTGATTGCCATTTGAGACTTTCACCGCCAGCTACCAACAAGCAACGGGATTCGCGCTTAACCGTGGCAGAAAAGGTTGTAAAATTGGGCATGAATCACTTAACCAACGCCTTGATTCGTGATGGAAATTCAGTTTTCAACTGTGATCATAAGCTGACGATATCTGGATAACAACTTTGTGTTAGGATGTCATCTAGTGACCAGCATAAATAATTCACATAATTTATACAGCGATAATGTTTGATTCGGCAGGGTGATGCTAAGAACTTTTGACGTTATTGGTCTAACTCAGGGGTCCCCAAACTTGACAGCTTTAAGATTTGTGGACTTCAGCTCCCAGAATTCTCTAGCCAGTTATGCTGGTTGGAGAATTCTGGAAGTTGAAGTCCACAAGTTGTAAAGCTTCCTAGTTTGAAGACCTCTGGTCTAACTGGACGGTGTCCCTGGGCGGTCAAAAATGCCACAATCATTGCAACTGAAGTCCCACCCCTTTTTAATGTCAATTGTTAAAAAAAGGATAGGGCTTTAATCGCTTTAAGCGGCCGCCATCTTGACTTTTTTGACTCCTTTCCTGTGGACAACCCTGCGTTGTCTTGAAGGGAGGGAGGGAAAGAGAGCAAGAGAGGCATTATTATTAGTCTTTTTAAGAGCAACTCAAATGTTATTCTGTTTGCTTTATTAGCACTTAAGATTTGTATGCTTGGCTTTACTCTTCTGATCGTGTAAAGGCAACTGACCCAGTTTCTTTTGAGTTTTCAGCATTGGGCAAAAATCTCCCTTTTCCCCTTCATGTCGGCTTCATTGTTTCTCTATAATTTACATTTACCCTTTTGTAATCTATGCTGCGTACTCTTGCATGGTGGAAAGGTGATCGAAGGAATTAAATTAAACGACTGATGATATTCGATATATACTGTTCAGTCATTGTTTTGTTCTGTGTCTTACCATGCTGTGTGTAAAATCCTATCACGCAACAAATCATTTTAAATTGACCTCTGCATGTTGATAGCAATAGCCCTTAGACTTATATACCGCTTTACAGTGCTTTTACAGCCCTCTCTAAGCGGTTTACAGAGTCAGCCTCTTGCCCCCAACAATCTGGGTCCTCATTTTACCCACCTCAGAAGGATGGAAGGCTGAGTTAATAGCAATAGCAAACTATATCCTATTTTCAGTTATCTGGAACTTTCTATTGTTTCATAATTTTCTCTTGTCCCAACAAGAATACCTCTGCTGAAGGTTCTTCACTCCACAAACCTTATGTAAACCCATTGCTTCTGATTATTTGGGATTATAATTATTGACTGATAAATATGCATTTATCAATTTATCTTTTACATTTTAATGTAATAGACTTTGCCTTATGGAACCTCCCTTGATCGGTGCTTTTTTAAATAAAACTTTGTGTAAATTGCTCAGATTCTAACTTGAGAAAACTTATGAGAGCTGCATAATAAATTAGATAATACTTGCAAATAGATCAGAGAATGTTTCAAAATTAAGTTGATAATCGAAATTAAGGGGGAAACTGACCCAAAGCAAAATAACTTTAATAGAAATATTGCATATCAATGTCCCAAAGGTGCTGTTTTCAGGAGGCAACTGGACTTTCTGGTTTTTCTTTGAAGACATTTTGTTTCTCATCCAAGAAGCTTCTTTAGCTCTGAGTGAATGGTGGAGAATGGAAGGATTTATATGAATGGTATGGGAGTAGGAATGGATTTCCAGAGGAAAAATGGCAGACTACAGGAACTATTTGCACTACTCAGGTGACCCTGAGGATACAGATAAACCTCCAGGTGACCTTAAACAACTGGCTAAAAGGATGCAAATGACCAGCTGTCTGCAAAGAGTATAAATACTTCCATTCCCCACTATCCTGTCAGAGCTGAAGAAGCTTCTTGGATGAGAAGTAAAATGTCTTCAAAAGAAAAAACAAGAAAGTCCAGTTGCCTCCTGGAAAAGCACCTTTGGGACAAGCATAACCTGGATGACGGAGAATTTCTACAGACATTGCATATCAGTGTTTCTCAACCTTTGCAACTTTAAGATGTGTGGACTTTAACACTCAGAATTTCCCAGCCAGCTACGCTTAAAGTTTCAAAGGTTGAGAAACACTACTGTATATTGTATAGTAATAGTAAGAAAGAAGTGGTACTTTTGCAAATTTTTTTTGTTAATAATTTTATTGAAGTTCTTAGTAATCACAGTAAAAACTAATGCAAATTAGTTGCTGAGCTGTTACAGAACTCAGTCTTGTCTCGTGGAAATTTATAATGAATGATGAAACTGCCCTAGCAGGCCAGGTTTGGGAAGCTCATGATCTTCACTGCCTCTTGTTGGTTTGGGTTAGGAGTGGTGGTGGCACAGTGGTTAGAATGCAGTATTGCAGGCTGACTCTGCCCACTGCCAGGAGTTCGATTCTGATCGGCTCAAGGTTGACTCAGCCTCCCATCCTTCCGAGGTCAGTAAATTTGAGGACCCAGATTGTTGGGGGCAAGATGCTGATTCTTTAAACCACTTAGAGAGGGTTGTAAAGCAATGTGAAGCGGAATATAAGTAAGTGCTATTGCTACTAAGCCCCTCCATTGGGAATGGGATATCCATGGAAGGAGAGTGGCAGGTTCTTAAATGATCCTGAGCAGATCATGGTCTCGTCGTATTTAATCTTATGGGTGTCGTTCTCGTGCTTTCAGGCCAAGAATCTGCGAACGGAAGCGGTGTAGAAATCTAACAAAGACACAGGATAGCCCAGCTACTAATCTAGTGCAGGGGTCAGCAACCTTAAACACTCAAAGAGCCATTTGGACCCGTTTCCCACAGAAAAGAAAACTCTGGGAGCCACAAAACCCTTCCAGTGCCTAACTTATTTCCTGAGCGACCAGAAAACTACCCTGTTTCCCCGAAAATAAGACATCCCTTGATAATAAGCCCAATTGGGCTTTTGAGCGCATGTGTTAAAATAAGCCTCCCTCCGAAAATAAGCCCTCCCCGAAAATATTTAAACGCAGAGCTGGAATCAGGTAAGGCGGCAAGAGGAGCCCCAAAATAATAAGACCTCCACGAAAATAAGGCCAAGCGCTTATTTCAGGGTTCAAAAAAATATAAGACGGGATCTTATTTTCGGGGAAACACGGTAGTATATGTAGTTGAATTAAGCATTGTGTTTTCTTCTGAAACTTTTCTTTTCTTGGATTTATCCATGGTTGGCCTACCGGGGTTGAAAACCTCAATTAATCACGTGCCAGCGGGTGTCACACATTGGCGGTTGTGATTCATATTTTGAGGGACAGGGAGCCGCAGCAGAGAAAGAGCCACATGCGGCTCCAGAGCCACAGGTTGCTGACCCCTGATCTAGTGGATCCCTAATGCTTTGTAAGAAGGGAGCGGGATTTCCAGGAATAGTATCCATAGGGCTTTTCCTGTCGATGCAGTTGAAGTGATTAGCACCTTTTTGTTACCTATCCCACCGGTAACAATTCTGGAACTCAAAGTAACAAGCTGGTTCGTACTGTAAAACAGCTCCCTCTTAATAACCTCATGACAAAATCATTACAAGATAGAAAAGCCGACTGAGGGTTTATTTCAAGGGCAAAGAATCCTTTGCTTGAATGCTGGCACTGAAGCGGTCCATTGTCAGGCTCGCTAGCTTCAGCAAAATGTTTTTTCCTTTTGAGAAATTCCTCCTTTTGCGTAATTAAAATTAATTAAAATAATTAATTAAAATTAAATAAAAGGCTGAACAGCAGGAACTGTGAGAGGGATCTTGGAGTCTTAGTGGACAACCAGCTAAACATGAGCCAACAGTGTGTGGCAGCAGCCAAAAAAGCCAATGCAATCCTAAACTGCATTAACAGAGGGATACAATCAAGATCAAGTGAGGTATTAATACCCCTCTATAAAGCCTTAGTAAGACCACACCTAGAGTACTGCATCCAGTTTTGGTCACCACACTATAAAAAAAGATGTTGAGACTCTAGAAAAGTGCAGAGGAGAGGAACCAGGATGATCTTTAGACTGGAGACTAAAACATATGAAGAACGATTGCAAGAACTGGGCATGGCTAGTCTAGTGAAGAGAAGGACCAGGGGAGACATGATAGCAGTCTTCCAATATTTGAGGGGCCGCTACAGAGAGGAGGGGGTCAAGCTATTTTCCAAAGCACCTGAAGGCCAGACAAGGAATAATGGATGGAAACTGACCAAGGAGAGATTCAACCTAGAAGGGGAACTTTCTGACAGTGAGAACCATCCACCAATGGAACAGAAGTTGCCTTCAGAAGTTGTGGGAGCTTCATCACTTGAGACTTTCAAGAAGAGATTGGACTGCCATTTGTCAGAAATGGTGTAGGGTAGGGTGGATTTGATTTAAATCGAGTTGATTTAAATCACAATTTAAATCATGATTTAAATCACTAGTAAAAAGGCTTGATTTAAATCAACTTGATTTAAATCATAATTTTTAAAGAGCAACTGTCATCTCTGCTACTCCTTTGACCCACTGTTGACTCACCGATAGTCCCAGTGTTGCAGAATATACAGCCTCATGCTACATAACTAAGCTCCATTTCATGCTGAATAAACTAAATTGTTTATGTATCTTAAATAGAAAACGATAGATTTTTACCCCGAAAGTTTTTTATTAAACTAAATCCGATAAAAATAAAAAAATCCGATTTAAATAAAAAAAATCTGATTTTTTTTATTTTTTTAAAAAAATCATTGATTTTTATCCACCCTGGTGTAGCGCCTCCTGCTTGAGTGGACGGTTGGACTAGATGACCTATAAGGTCCTTCCAACTCTGTTAATCTGTTAATCTATTAATTATTACTGGTAAAAGTCTTGGACATCTCACTGCCTTGGTTTCATGGAGTACTTGGTGCTTAGTGGGCGAATTGTGTGGAAACATTGGGTTTGGTTGGCTGAGTTTTCACATGAAGACATGTGAATATGGTGGCTGGTGCAAGAAGCAACTTGTGCCAAGTTTTAGGGTGGTTGGTTTGACTCTTCTTGTTTAATGTGAAGCCAGCTTTTGTGGGCTGCAGATTGACAAGCTTTCAGCGATGGCTTCTGAACTTGGGCCAAGAAACAAGCAGGTCTGGAGCTTCGTGGGTAGAAACAAAGGGAGACCTGGCCAGGTCATGGAGTGGAATTTGAGGGCTTCTCTCTGTAGGCTGGCGGAGAGCACAAAGCAAGGAAGCAGGTATCTATGGAGATTCTCAGTCATCCAGGTCATGGTTGTCTCAAAGGTGCTTTTTCTTCAAGAAGCAACTGGACTTTCTAGTTTTTCTTTGAAGACATTTCGCTTCTCATCCAAGAAGCTTCTTCAGCTCTGACTGGATGGTGAGGAATGGGAGGATTTATACTCCTTGCATACAGCTGAACTGTCAGGTTTTCAGGCCGTCTTCAAATAAACTGCGCCTCAAACAAAGTCTTTTTTGAAACAAACTTCCATTTTATTTAGCACGGCAACTTTTACACTGACTCCATGCAGCCAGCACTGAGGTGCTGACCCAAAATCCTCCTGTTCCTTCCCCCACTCCTCTGCATTCATTGGCCATCTTCCCAATCATTCACCCCTATTCTACTGCTCCAACTCAAAGAATTTCCCCCCTCCCATCCATCTCCTACGGGACATTATCTCCAGCTAAAATAACTAGGTGAAAGGCATCCGTCCCGTTGCAGACACTTGTGTTCTCCTTCTCATGTCAGCACTAGGATAAATGCATCTTGACATGCTGACATGGACATTTGCATTCTTTTAGCGGGTCGTTAAAAGAGGCCAACTATGTCAAAATTGAACAGCCCCCTCTCAACAGAAGGGGAGGGATACGACATCATCTATCTCCAGTCCACAACACGGTCCTTTCAACAGTTTCAAGAAGGCTCCACACCCATTTGCACCAG